TGAGGCAGAGCTCAGGGTGTGAGTGAGAGCACTGCTCTTGTGCACCATACACTGGTGGGAATTGCTGCCAGAGCAGGGATTCCTTCTCTGCCTTGGGAACTCTGCTCTTTGACAACAGGGCAGCAAATGCTCACACTCAGTGGGATTTCCTTTTCAGGCCTGAAAGTGAAAAAAGCTGAAGTTGTGTAGTTATGCCATATCAACCTTCAACAGCAGTGTAATGCTGTGATCCTTTATTAGCACTAGAAGCATCCTTGGGGAAATAAGGACAAGCCCACAAAGGTTTCATGGAAAGGAGAACAGCTTTGTTGTCAGGAGGCCATCATATGATAAAATAATGGAAGTACCTTTCTTACAGGATCAGGACTTGTGTACAGGGCTGACCCTCTGTTCTACCTAGAAAGTTTTCAGTTCCTCAGGAAGAGATCATAGAATAGAATAATCATAGAACAGGCTGAGTTGGAAGGGACCCATTGGGATCATCGAGTCCAACACCTGGCCCTGCACAGGACACCCCAAGCATCACACCATGAGCTAAAGGATGCAGCAGAGCAAAATTCTTTTGTAGTTGAAGTGGGAATTGTTCATGTATAAGTAAATGTGCAGATGACACCAAGCTGAACACTGTAGGTGACACACCTGAAGGACAGGGCTGTCCAAAGGGATGTGGAGGAAGTGGTCCATGGGAATCCAATGGGGTTCAGCAAGTACTGGTGCTGCACCTGGGCCAGGACAACCCAGGCTGGGGATGAGCAGATGGAGCAGCCCTGGGAGAAGGACTTGGGGGTGCTGGTGCTGAGAGCTGGACATGTCCTGTCCCTGAGCCCCCCTTGTGCTGAGCCATTTGCAAGGGCCTGGAGTGACAAGACAAGGGGGAATGGCTTCACACTGACAGAGAGTAGGTTTAGACTGGGTATTAGGAAGAAATTGTTCCCTGTGAGGGTGGTGAGGCCCTGGCACAGGGTGCCCAGAGAAGCTGTGGCTGCCCCATCCCTGGCAGTGCCCAAGGCCAGGCTGGATGGGGCTTGGAGCAGCCTGGCATAGTGGAAGGTGTCCCTGCCCTCCCTGGCTGGGCTCTAAGATCCCTTCCAACCCAAACCATTCTGTGATTCTAAATAAAACATGTAGTACTGCAATACAGAGACATGATCTTCATCCTGTAGGTGATGGTGAGCAACTTGGGCTGTGGTGCCACAGACTGTGCACACAATCACTGCTTGCACATCCTGATTGTTTTATGTGCTGTGCTGTAAAGCTTTGGAAAATGCTCCTGTATTGAGACATGGGAAATTTCACTCGTTTTTTAAAGGCTTTTAAATAAATTCAAAGAAATAGTTCTTTCTTGTGCAGCTGATCTTTAGAACACTTCCCTGTGGGTGATCTCCTCATAAGTAAGTACTTCAATGTATCTGTGAAACCCAAGTTTTATCCTACTTTATTTTCTCTCTAAACTCAGCCTTCTAAAACAGGGAGTTTTTCCCTGGTAGGGTAAGATGTTATTTTCCTTGTTACCTTTTAGGATGGCCACAGCTTTCCTGCTTAAAACACTTTGGAATGTGGGATGTTGGGATCTCACTTTGTAATCTTGAGTTCTCACTTGGTTTGAGTTGTGGTAAAGTGGAAAGTATTACCAGGTGATACCAGCCTGCCAACATCACACTTCTGCAGTTTATGGAGATAAATGTTGATTCTAGAAGGTAAAAGACCTAAGTTACTTTGGAGAAAAAATTGAAAATTCATGCATGACATAAACAAGCAGAAGAGCTTGAGTAATGTTTTAAGTATGTTTTGCATTAAATTCTCTTTGGGAAAAATGAGCATTTCTTAATGGATTTTTAAACACAAATGTATGGATAAATAAATAAAAGGATAATGGCTAAATAGACTTTGTTTCCTTTGGGAAAGGAGATGTATTTATTTAAGCAGGCATTGGATGTCACATTTGTTTAGAAATGTAGGGGGGTTTTCTGAAGTTCATGTTAAAGTGAAGCTTTCTAAGTTCTAACTTTGAAAAGGTAAGACACTACAATGCCAGGAGGGTATTTTTGTTTTGTTTGTTTAATCTTTAATAGCTGAAGCTCCTATAAATGTCAATTACAAATTATGCTGTTATCTAAGATCTTTTGTTCTTAATCACCTTTAGATATAAAACTGACACTCTCTGGATTAATCTGTCAAATTTTCTTTGTGCAATTTCTGTTCCATTGAGATTTAAAGTTGCAGGTGTCAACTCTTGGAGATGATAAACCTTTCAGCATCCTTCCTGAAGAGAGGTGAGGTGTCCTTGCAAAGCAGGAGTGGCAGACTGATTTCCTTGGTATTTGGTTATTCTTGTAGTCATGACCTAAAGCATTTAATAACTCTTCATAAGCTGAGTTTGGGGACCCTTCTGGAAGTGTATCTGCTGGAATTAGGCTTCTGCATGTTCCAGACTCACTGCAGCCTCATGCCTTTTTTTGCTTTGGTTTGTATTTTATAGGCAGTGGTGATCAGCAACACAACCTCTGAATACAATGAAATAAAGCAGCTGTTTCATCAGACTATGAAAAATTACAGCATCCTTAAAATACAGAGGATTCAGAATCCATCCCTCTGGAAGGTGTTTCAGTGGTTAGTACTTGTTTCCCTGTCCTTATGAGGAGGCAGTCTCCAAGAACAGGTTGTCCTGTATGTGCTTTCTAGGAAAGAAAAGAGGTTGCCACCTGTGCCTTGACATGACTGGTATTTTGTTATTAGAATTTCAGGAGTGAGATTGGTGTCTGAGGCCTTCCACAGAATGCCATGCTCTGTGGGGAGGTTCCCTTTGCCTGGCTCCTTGGAAGAGGGGGAGAGGAGCATGGAGAGAAAGACATGCATGATGCAGAACTGGGATGAGGATACCTACAGGGATGTGGAACAGTGATTGTCTTGGGGATGGAGCAATAACTGCCTGCTGCACACATGCTCTGTGTTACAAATCTTTATCCATTAATCCTAAAAAGAGTAAAGCTTGCTTGGGCCTTTTTGTTCCAGATTTATTTCAGTGCTTTTGCTGAACAGTCAGTATACACTGAGAAAGAATCCTTGTGGTTTAACTTGATGATCTCTGAGTTCCAGAGCTCCTTTCTGGTTTTCAACATCTGCATCAGTGATATTGAACACTAGGTACTTAGGCCAAGCTGGATACCAGCAGATTAGAGCTGGGGTTCAAACATGTTCAAGTTAGTTTGATGTAGGATGAAGTTGTTGCTTAGAACAGTTGTCTAGTTTAAAACAAGAGTAAGTATTCAAGGACTGTATGGAATGGTAATGGAGTAGAAAAATACTGCTCAAATAAATGCTTTCACCTGAAAAATTATGGAATCCAGAAAGTTACCAGCTACTGATTCATAAAACCTTTTTATCTAGCAAAACATAAGAGACTTCAAAGCATGTAATAATACATATTTCTTCTCCTCCTCCAATGAGGTAATCAAGCTAAGCAGGCAGAGTTTAACATTGCCAAGTCCAGAGGATGGTGGAGTAATTTGGGTTGAAGAGACCTTAAAGCTCATCCAGTCTGCACAGGACAGGGACACCTTCCACTATCCCAGGTTGCTCCAAGCCCTGTCCAGCCTGGCCTGGAACACTTTGAGGGATGGGGCAGCCACAGCTTCTCTGGGCACCAGAGTATGTTCACAGTATGTTCTCAATGAACTCAGTCCATTGCTCTAACTTTCCCTTTTCTTCCATGGTTCACATTCTCCTCCCCTTCATTTTTATCAGGCAAAAAGAAAAAATGAAAAAGGAAAATGGAGGAAAGGAAGTGCAGGAAAAACGCCTGTTCCATGGAGCTGACGTCACCTTCATGGAGACAGTCTGCAGTCAGAACTTTGACTGGAGAATTTGTGGAAGCAATGGAACTAACTATGGGAAGGGTATGTAGAAAGTGAGATGTCTGCTGAGACTCCCCTGATAGTGCAGCAGTCAAAGGTTCTGAAGTCTTTAACTGTAGAAGGAGAAAAAAAAATGACAAGAATTGGTATTATGATTCTTCTGAAGAGGCCAGGATTTGCTTTGGGTTGGGGGCAAGTCTTCTCACAAGGTGTCAAGAGCATTAGTGATTTGGGATTTGCTGTAGGTGGCGTTTTCTGATGTCTCAGATCATAATTTGAACTTACAGATTGGTTTGTATGGCAGGGAGCAGAGGGGTGTGTATGCCCTCATTGTGATCTTGGAAGGTCCTCATGTTTTCTTGTCTGTCTCTCTCATCAAAACACACAGACCTGTAGTGTGCTTATCTGTACAGCTTTTGAAAAATTACTCCTAAAATAGCAAATAGTGAATGGAAATTACATAGTGCAGTCCCCTCTCTTGCAAAAATGTCAGTGGTGTTCTGTAAACTGAGTAAGAGAAGTCCTGAAAGTTGAGTCAGATACCTCCTGAAAACCCATGGGATGCTCAGATTTTGCTGTCACTGTACAGATTCTCCTCACACCCACGTTTCCATCTCGTTTTCTAGGAAGTTACTTTGCTAGAGATGCTTGCTATTCCCACACCTACTGTCAGAGCACGCTGCAGGGACACTCCATGTTCGTGGCTCGTGTTCTGGTTGGAGACTACGTGAAAGGCAACGCCGCCTACGTCCGGCCCCCAATGAAGTGTGCTGCCAAGCTGTGGCTGTATGACAGCTGTGTGGATAATGAGTTCAATCCTGCTGTTTTTGTTGTCTTTGAAAAACACCAGATTTACCCAGAGTACATCATAGAGTATAGAGAGGAGAGAATAAGTGTGCAGAAAGACACAGGAATAAATGTGCAAAAAGAGACAGGAACAAGAGCGTCTAGAGAGGAGGGAAGAAAATGTGTCATATCTTAGAGGAACGTGGCAGTTTGTGTCCATCATCTTGTTTTTCATATTGCAGGTGTTCTACTATGTGACCTTTTTCTTTTTAATACAGTTCTTCAGAATGTTAATCCGGTTTCTGCATTGAGGAGGGCTGGCAAAGCAGATGTTACATTTGTTGTGACTGCCTTATCTTCTTCTGTTCCTCTCTTAAATGAAGCACAGACATTTTGATAACCATAGCAGAAAAATCAGAATTGTGGGATGGGAAATTGAATGTTATGACTGCTGTGGGCAAATAATTGCAAATGCATCATCTAAAAAAATAGAGAGGACTTCTCTTTGCAAACAGTTAAAAGAAAAATTAACACTGCAGTAGTTTTAAAGGAAGCTGTCAGGTGTTTAGTAGCCAGAAATTCTTTTCAGTGCAGAATTCACCTGTTCTTGATCCTCTCAGCTATCATTACTATAAACAACTCAGTGTAGGTAATAATGACTTGAGTTTGTTTTCAAAGCACTGCTTGTTAATGCTGGTACATGTTTTGAGTTAAAATGATAAACAAAAAAAGAAACAGCATATTGTAAATCCATGTTGTTAGTTCTCAAGAGTTTTCATCTGTACAATGGCAGATGGATCAGAAAGCTGTTGGATCAGATTCCTTGTGGAAATGAGCAGTAACTTGCTGTAACCTACACAAAAGCAGAGCTCAGCTGAAACTGTGAAAGCCACCACATGTGAGTAAGCAGATACCAAAATGTGGTGGTTTGGCTGCAGCTAATGGCACAAGGACACAAAGGCTGTGTCCCAAGGAGCCAGGCTTTCCAGTGGGTGTGGCCACGTAGCACAGTAGGACAGGAGAAATTCCTTAAGGATCATGGAGATGTTCTGTCCTGTTTGTGCAGTAATTTTCGTTTTTTTCAGATTAGAATGGAACCAAGAGAGACCAGTTAGGTTCTCCTGAGGCCAGTGGTAGAACTGTCCCAAGGCACTGCCTGCATGTTCTGCTGCCCACTTGCATGGGGCAGGGTGCTGACAAGTGAGAGTCCTCTTTCTGATTTGGGGGTGATCCTGGGTCAGAAACCTCTGCAATTTCTCCTGGATGTTAGCAGGGAGTCTGTAAGTGGATCAAACTGAAGGCCCTCTGTACAAAATGCCATATTCAGGCAGTTTAGCTGTTCAGAGGGGAAGCTGTGAGTGAGGACAGAGGAGCAGTAATTTTTATTTCGAATAAGCTTTACAGAAAGCAAATAGCCTGTGAGGTTTTTGCATCTGTGTTAGAAATCTGTCAATCACTCAAAGATAACAAGTTCTTCCCAAGAGGAACGGAGAAGATAAATCCAGAAAATCTTACTGAAATGACTTAGAACTAAATCAAAACACGTGGAGAAGATTTTATCAATTTTAAAGATCTTTCTTTCTCGTTTGCCTGTAGAATTTCTGAATTACTGAGCTTGCTGTATTTGCAAATAAACCCTGTGTTCAGGCACTTTCAGTGTGCAGTTTGTCTTTACATAAACATGGCAAGACTAAATATGCTGAGTGAACCAGCTCCTGCCTGCATTCCCTGTGTTCATTTGGTGTTTCTATATCAGGGAATTGCACACTTAGTCTGCTATGGTAGGGTGGGTGTTTAGCTAACTGCTAAGGAGGGAATATTTCTGTACGTTAACTTCCTAACTAGGAGATGTTCAGTATTAAAGTGGTGGGGCAGTTTGGTTAGATTTCATGTAATTAAACAGCTGCTCTGAGCAGTAAATGAAGTCCTAAGAAAAGGTGAAAGAATTAAGTGAGGTAGTGGCAGAACTGTTGGTCTTAAATCTTGAAGTAGTGAGATATTGAGAGGTTCTAGGGATGTACTGCTTTAATATGCAGATGAGTAACTTTGAAAGACTCTAAATCAGGCACCTGGAGAAAGCGCCATGGCTGGGTGGGGAGGGTGCCAGTGAGATGCTGACAGCTTAGGATCAGTCCAGAGCACCACACACAGAGTAGGGACAGAGCAGTACAGGAATGCAGAGCTGTTCATGGTCCAACCCACCCTGCAGCAGGGATGGACGCAGCTCTCTGGTGCGCAAGGCTTTGGCTTTTCCATCAGAGGGCGGGACTGGGGATGAGAGCTGCAGTCTGGGTAACTGAGCTGAAGGGGGAGGAAAGGTGGAAAATGCATACTCTGAATGCAGGAGGATGAGAAAGAAACAATGGTTCACCCACCTTGTGGCACCTCAGCCTCCTCCTAATGCTTGGGCTGTGACCTGTGCGAACACAGATACTGCTGCTCTCCACTGCTGCGTGCTTCTGGCCACTGTGATGGAAACAAAGTGGGTGCACACTGCTACACATCTATGAAATTAGGCTGAAGAACACATTTAAAAGCTTCACACATGCAAAGAAGTCATGTACTTGCTTGCTTAACAAAGATCATCTTTGACTTTATTAAAGCAAAGCAGACAAAATTCTCAATCATGTTCTATTGAAAGTAGAGCTGTCATTGATTACATTGATCGCACTCTGCATAGCCAGCCAGAGCTTTCTCAGGCTTTTGTTCCTTTTAAAATTTGTTACATTCCTCTAGTAAAAAGTTACCTGTCTAAAGTCATTGTCTGAAGTGCACTTATTAAAAATAATAGTTAAAATCCACTGTAAGGTGTCCCAAGTGAGTCATCCCCAGCATGGCTGAGCAGACAAGCTGTCTGCTGAAGAACAGCACGCTCATCAACCTGAACACCTGAAGGCAAGGAATGCAATCCCTTACATGGTTTTATTATTCTTCCTTTAAAAATAAGCTATTTCTGCATCAGGGGAGGATTGGGTAAAGCAAAATATCAGCAAAGCACTTCCACCTCTTGTTCCACAATGCAGGAACTCCAGGGGCAGGGCAGGGCCAGCTATGGAAGTGCTTCTTAGGTCAAAAGGAAACTGTAGGACAAGGCTGCTGTGGGACATGGGGAAGAGCCTGAGCTGGACAGGAAGGAGGAGCAGCCTGTGAGGCCAGGAGAGCTGGGAGAAAAATTTAACATTTTATGAGACAAGAGTTTAAAAATGTACACCTGGAAAGAGATCCTGAATGCAGACAGATCTGTGACTCCTGCCTGAATGGGCTGGAAGCTCAGTATGGAATTCAGTTCATGCCTGTACTGGTTCTGGCCCTGCATCTTCCTATTAGCTTTATTTCAAAGCTCCCTTTGAACTACCTGAGCAGTTTAAATTCACATGTAGGCCAAGTTAACAAACTGGGCCAAAGAAGGACTGAAACCCAGGCACTGTTACTGCACTGTGTATAATCAGAGTCAGAGGGAATGTTCAGGAAAACATACCAGAGCAGCAGTGCCTTTGGGATGCTCCAGAAAGCTTTGTCAGCAAGTTTTGCTTGCATTATCAGCAAGTTTTCTTCTTTCCTTGTGGAATCATCTAAGGCACAACCTCCAGAAATGCAACAGCTGTCTTTTTTTAAGGAAATAATTCTCAAATCTTTTACGCTTGAGTACCTCCCTGAATTCCTTCACAGCACCCCTGCACTCCCTGCTCCCAGGCTTTGTGGGAAGCTCCTGGCTCTTGCAGCTGAAGCTGGAGGAAAGCCCTATGCCATGGAATGCACAGCTGCTGCCTTCCTGATCAGTCGCTCCGTCATTGGGGACTTGGGTCTCAGCAGGTCACGTTCGTGCAGGAGGCACCTGGCAAAGGAGAGGCAGCAGGGTGAGCAGTGGGTGATAAATGTGTGTTCTGCCAGCCAGGCTGTGCTCTGTGCTGAGGGGCAAGCACACGTGGCAGAGCACACCTCTGACCCCAGCAAGGCAGATGTCAGCAGTGGCACTGACTGCAGCTGCAGTTCACACAAGGGCAACAGGCTATAGTTGAAGACAGAACCATATGAAAATCCAGAACCATTGAAAATCAACTACCCTTGAACATACACAGATCATCCATCCAGGCTGAAAGAGTGACTTTTGGAACTGGAAGCTATTGTACTTTTTATCCTGGTTAAATGTTGCTACATTTAACACAAAATTTTAGCCTGAAATTTATTGGTTTGCATATATTCATTACTTCTTACTTTTAGAGTATATTCATTACTCCTTACTTTCAGCAACAGTGTTACTTCTACAAGTATTTATCAGGGGAATACTCACCTTGCAAGGTTTCGTTTGGTCTCTGATTTAGAATTTAAAGCAGCATGAATCAATAACAGGCTGAAAACATCTCTCTGGAAAAAAAGTCAGCAAAATACAAACTAATAAGTGATTTATAATGTATGGCTGGCTACAATGTTTTGGTTACCAAACTATTAAATTCACAGGAAGGAAACAAATCAACATTAAAAATAAATAGCTAACTCTGCTAGTAAGTGTTTGCAAACAGGATTCAGTCACAAGCAGAGTTCAGCTTTTCAGTGTTTGACTGAATGAGGTAAGTGCTTCATGGTGGCTGCTGAGAGGGGACTGAGTCACATCAAAAAGTCTTTTGTGGATCTCCTTTACCTGAGCATCACTGCCTCCCACTTGGACCAGTTCGTAACGGATTGGGTAGAGCAGATCTACAGCTTTGTCACAATTCCCATTTTCAAACTCCACAAAAGCCTGGCACAGTGGCAGCCCCAAATGAGGAGCCAGGGAAAGCTGGTGGTCTTCATGAGGTGCTCTGTAGAATGAAACAGTGGTTAACTTCCACAAGCCAAAGCATAAACAGCCATATTTCAATGCCAGTCTGCCCCTGCCTGCAGACAGGTTTTTATTTTTTTGTTACTGTACAAAGCCTGATGTTTTAGGTACTTGACTTAGGT